TGTCTTAAGATTAGGTGGCAGATTGTTGAAAATGCGAGCAATTCTTACATAGAAGGATTTTTCCAACAGAGGAGTCAAGCGTGGTATAACAATTTGCAGGTTCCTTACAGATCTCGAAAACTTAAAAAGGTCCAAAAGAGTAGAAGATGTCCTCAATTTAAAATGTTTGTAGAAGAACAACATTGACCTTAAATTCACAAAACACTCAAACGAACAACCAAGAAACTCTTTCACAGAAGGAGATATATGATCACGACGTTTGACACAAAAAACATATCGCATTACTCTATGAAACAATAGTTTTAACTTACGAAAAACAAAACCGTAGCTACCCCCAAAAATCTCAATACAATATAAAAAGTGAGGCATTATTAATGCATGTACCAACTGAATTCTAATCTTCTTAGGCAAAACTATGTCCAAGCAGTACAACTTCTTTAAAATAAAGTTAACTTTGGACACTAAAGAATTCACATGCACATCAAACACCAAACCAGAATCAAGAAACAAACCAAGACATTTCATCGAGCTTACAACATTTATAGGCGTCCTATAAATGGAAACTCTAATTGAATCCTCTTGCAAGTTCCCAAAAAACATAACTTTAGATTTTTGAGTATTTATTGAGAGACCATTACAGGACAACCAAGTTACCAACATATTAATATTAAAATCAATTGACGACTGCAACACATCCATAAACACATATTCTCCTTTAAACAAAATTTGAATGTCATCAGCAAATGCAAACGACATACAGTTCCTACCATTAATACAACTCAGCAAATCATTAACATACATTATACGTTTTGCAGGGAGAAATTTCCAAAATACCTAAAATTTGGAAGTGCCGTTATATATGGTCAATACTAATAGTGGATTTAACTTCACAAAATTTAGCAGGCAGTGATTTCAAAATGTCAAGAAACTCATGATTGGGTTTGAAATTGTGGTCGAAACCTTCAAAATACCAAAAATCAGGAAGTAACGCTATATGGGGGCCTCACCGAAACGTGGACCGTTATGTCCCATTTTTAATGCCAAACATATTAGAGGTAATATGAATGTCTGAGCAAAATTTCAGAGCGATAGAATGCTTTCCCGAATTAATCTCCAGACGGAAGAAAACAGCAACATCAGCAGAAATGGTTCGAAAAGTAAAGAAGCGACTTGATCGAAACCCGCGTCGCAGTGGCCGAAAAATGGCTCGTGAGCTGAACATATCGTAATATTTCATTCGACAAATATTGAAAAAATTAGCTCGGGGTAAAACCATTGAAATTCCAAAAAGTGCAAGATCTTACACCGCAACAGAAAGAAAATAGACTCAAAAGGGCTAAAGAGTTGCTTCGCTTGGCCGAAAGTGGTGAACTACCGAATTTGGTTTTCTCCGATGAGAAAACATTCGCTATCTAGCAGTTTGTAAACAAACAAAATGATCGTGTTTTCTTGCCAAAGAGGTCAAGTGAAAATGTGCACCTTCGGTTGGCCACAAGAGCTCAAGCGCCGGCCATGGTGATGATGTGGGCCGCCATAACAGCCGATGGTCGCTCTCCGCTCGAATTAACCGTTGCATCAGAATAAATGCCGAAGGGGTGTATTTTGGCCGCAGACCTCGGACGTTCCAAATGGACTCAGCACCATCGCACTCAGCACGCGCCTCCCAAGAATGGTTACAAAATGAGGTATCTTGCTTAATATTCAGCGCACAATGGCCACCAAAATCTCAGGATACCAATCCGTTGGACTATTGTGTTTGGAGCTTTTTGGAAAGCAAGGTTGGCACTAAAAATAGCAAAGTGTCGATCACTTCAATCAAGCGCTTCGCCGGGAATGGGCTAACATACCGCAGAGCAACATTCGGGCAGTGTGTGACGGTTTCATTGGCCGTTCGAAGGCCATAATTCGTGGGAAGGTGACCAATTCGAACAAAACTAAACGTATTCTAAAATTTAACATTTATTTCCGACATTTTTTGCTTTTATTTAAAAAAATGTAAAAACTGTGTCGTTTGACTTTGTTGCAGTTTATCCGCAAATGTTACGATAAAGTTTTAAATTTGGTACAGTCCTATATGTATCAGGTTGGTCTACATTCTGATATAGCCCCCCTCAGATGATATAACCTCTTTCAAATTCCTCAAATTTTGGTAATTTAAGATTTTAGAAAGAAGAAAAGAAAGAAAACTTCTAATCTATCTATATATATCACATAAATTTGTGTTAATTGCTACGCTTATAACTCAAGAACCGCTGATCTGATTTTAACGATTCACACAAAATCGGAATTGTCTCTTGGAAGAAATAGATAAAATCCCAAAAAATCGCGTAAAAATTTGAAATTTGAAAATTTTAATTTTAATTTTTGTGGTGTACTATAGTAATGTTTTATTTTGCATGATTTTTGCAATTTTGACTTACTATTTTGGAATGTACATTTGTAGTGTTTTTTTTTTTTTTTTTTTTTTTTGAATTGAATTGAGCTGATTATGAATATACATATGTATATTCTATGGGGTCTATGACGAACATTTATGGATGTTACAAATGGAATTAAAAAGTGTATAAACCCTCCTTTCCAAGGTGGAGGATATTATAAGCATTAAAGACTAAAAGCTAGTATATATATATATATATATATATATATATATATATGTTCGTCATAGACCCCATAGAATATACATATGTATATTCATAATCAGCTCAATTCAATAAAAAAAAAACACTACAAATGTACATTCCAAAATAGTAAGTCAAAATTTTAAAAATCATGCAAAATAAAACATTACTATTGTACACCACACAAGTCAAAATTAAAATTTTCAAATTTCAAATTTTTACGCGATTTTTTGGGATTTTATCTATTTCTTCCAGTAAGAGCTTTTAGTTTGAGATTTAAAAACCTAAATAATAAAGCAAAATAGGCCCATGTAAAATGGTTTCCTACCAACAAAATAACCTAAACACACATTTAAAGTCAAATCGATTCGAAAATATAATCACAACTCTCGATATAGGTAAAATCAGGAGGTACTTTTATATAAGCGCTACTCCAAAATATTGATATTGAAACATTTCGCGAAGAGATCTTCTACCAGAAGCTAGATGCTAAAATCACCGAATACCTTTACATAAGAGTTATAATGAAGCAGGGTCCTATACTTATAACTACTTGATAGAATTTGTTCTTTTTTCTAAAATCTTAAATTACCAAAATTTGAGGAATTTGAAAGAGGCTATATCATCTGAGGGGGGCTATATCAGAATGTAGACCAACCTGATACATATTTTGTACAAATGATTCATCATGTAACCCCTAGGACTGTATCAAATTTAAAACTTTACCGTAACATTTGCGGAGTATAGAGCAAAATATTTGCGGACCTTTTTGTATGGAAACATTTCCTAACCCCAAGATTGTCTGCGGCGCAGTGTAATTACTGACGATAGCGCATAGTGCCCGTATAACGGCACCTATGATTTAAGGTTTCTTTTAAGGGCTCGGAAGAATTTTCGGAGTATATGAATCCTTTTCTTACTATATTTTCAATTCACTCCACTATTTTGTAGTCCGCATATTACAGTGCCTTTCATATTCGGTATTTCACTGATTGAAGTCCCAATGAATTTTGCATTTTGAGTTCTCATTGGATAGATTATTTCAATCAAAATTCAATCAAATTTCTAATCAAAATTCGAAATTTGGGTATGGCAACCATATAACAGCATGTATAGACATAGACAAATGAAAATATAAACAACGAAATGCTCTCACCGTTCATCTTCGAAAAAAATCGGATTAGCAGATGTCGTCAATGTCGTTACAGGGGTTTGAATGGGAATTTTTAAGATTTTAAAGATTGTCTGCGGCGCAGTGTAATTACTGACGATAGCGCATAGTGCCCGTATAACGGCACCTATGATTTAAGGTTTCTTTTAAGGGCTCGGAAGAATTTTCGGAGTATATGAATCCTTTTCTTACTATATTTTCAATTCACTCCACTATTTTGTAGTCCGCATATTACAGTGCCTTTCATATTCGGTATTTCACTGATTGAAGTCCCAATGAATTTTGCATTTTGAGTTCTCATTGGATAGATTATTTCAATCAAAATTCAATCAAATTTCTAATCAAAATTCGAAATTTGGGTATGGCAACCATATAACAGCATGTATAGACATAGACAAATGAAAATATAAACAACGAAAAGCTCTCACCGTTCATCTTCGAAAAAAATCGGATTAGCAGATGTCGTCAATGTCGTTACAGGGGTTTGAATGGGAATTTTTAAAATTTTAAAGATTGTCTGCGGCGCAGTGTAATTACTGACGATAGCGCATAGTGCCCGTATAACGGCACCTATGATTTAAGGTTTCTTTTAAGGGCTCGGAAGAATTTTCGGAGTATATGAATCCATTTCTTACTATATTTTCAATTCACTCCACTATTTTGTAGTCCGCATATTACAGTGCCTTTCATATTCGGTATTTCACTGATTGAAGTCCCAATGAATTTTGCATTTTGAGTTCTCATTGGATAGATTATTTCAATCAAAATTCAATCAAAATTCGAAATTTGGGTATGGCAACCATATAACAGCATGTATAGACATAGACAAATGAAAATATAGACAACGAAATGCTCTCACCGTTCATCTTCGAAAAAAATCGGATTAGCAGATGTCGTCAATGTCGTTTCAGGGGTTTGAATGGGAATTTTTAAGTCACTCAATTCAAAAACGGGCCAGCTAGTATATATATATATATATATATATATATATATATATATATATATATATATATATATATATATATATATATATATATATATATTACGAATGTGAGGGACTTACACCCCAAATCGGATGAATCATATATATGGGAGCTCTACCTATATCTATACCGATTTTCACCAAATTAGAAGTACTTCCTTCAGGGTTGAACTCACTCAGATGTGTCGAAATCCACCCATACTGGATACATATTAAACATGTGGCGCAATGAAATTTAAATCGGACGAAAATATATATGGGAGCATCGAAATCTTAATCGATTGCCAGATAAACTTCCACACTGAACCTGGCTGCGTGTACCTAAATTGATTTGATTCGGGCGGATATTACGCATTTGTATTGTATTGTGCACTACTTATGTATTGTGCACTACTTATGAAATCGGACGACACTATGTATGGGAGATAGAGCTGCAAAACTATCGATAGTATCGATAGATATCTTTTTTGAGGACTATCGATGGGGTTTTTCACTATCGATACTATCGACAAATTTGAACAAGGTAGCTTGTATCAGTCTTTTTCACAGGCCGTCTGTACATTTTTATATTTTAATACAAATAAGTAATGTGAACAGACGCTAGCAGTAAGTGTTTATCAAAATGTAATTTAAAAACTTGTTCAACAATTATTATTTTTCAATTTATAGATCACAAACACAAGTTTATTAGGAAATTGAAGGCTTAAGAGAAATGGAGAGGTATCTGCAAATATTAAATGGTAGGTATTATCATATTTGTTTAATGTACATGGGCACTTACATTTACATCACATATGTATATAGAAAGTCCCAACGAAAATACTGAGGAAGACAGTGATGATGGGGAACCTATTCCCAAAAAGACCCGTAAGCAATCTTCGGATGTTTGGACGTATTTTGAAGCGGTTAAGGAAAAAATTGTGCTAAATGCCGTTTATGTGGAAATTTTTATAAAACCAGCGGCAATACAACGAATCTATTCGACCACCTTAAAAGATCACATCCGGGCTTCAAAGAAGTTGAAAAACCGACCAATGTCATCACGTCTTATTTAAAACAAAAAGACACATACGGCTTAGAATCGGAGCGCAAGAGGAATCTGGATAATGCTCTTATGTTCATGGTAGCTATCGACGTGCAGCCGTTTAGCATAGTGGAAGATAGAGGTTATAGAGATTTCCTACTCTTTACCATCACGTACGACACTACAAAATAAAATGATGGTTGAAATGTATAACGCGCAAAAAAATTAGCTACATTCGATTTTAAATGAAATAGAGCACTGTGCAATCACAACAGACTGTTGGACCTCCCGTTCAAATGAGGGTTATCTGACAGTTACTTGCCACTTTATTACAGAGGATTTTTGTTTGCGTAAAACTTCTAACGGCTACTAACCACAACGCAGAAAACATTTCGAAATCATTACAATCAGTCTTAGATGAGTGGGGTGTGATGACGAAGGTTACGTCCATTGTCACTGATAACGACAGTACCATGATCAAGGCTTGCGACTTATTGCAAAAGAAACACCTTCCCTGCTTTGCACACACAATGAATCTTGTAGTGCAGGATTGTTTAGCACAAAGCAATATAAAAGAAATTTTGGCAAAATGTAAGAAGATTGTGACATATTTTAAAAGCAGTACAGTTGTTTATGAACAATTTAAGGCGGCACAAGGTAGGGCGAAGCCACATAGTTTACTTCAAGAAGTACCCACCCGATAGAACAGTGCCTTGAAAATGATTGAGAGAATTTTGGTCACAAATGCTTGGATTTCAAACATACTTTTAGCGACACCAAAAGCACCACCACCCCTAACAGTAGATGATATCGCAATACTGAATGATATAAAAGAGTTATTGACACCTTTTGAGACAGCAACGACCCAAACATCGTCCAATTCTAATGTTACAATATCACTTATCATTCCAATAACGTGTGGTCTTTTTCAAGCACTTGACGAAGTTAAATCACGTTTAAATACCCTTGAAGGACAACAGGCTTGTACATTCCTTACAGAAAAAGTGAGAAAGAGACTTTTTCCATATGAAGAGCGATCTGCAGCAAGACTAGGAACATTGTTAGATCCGCGTTTTTAAAAGGAAGGCTTTTTATCAAAAACTAATGACGATAATGGGTCCCAACTTTTGAAAAATGTACTGAGCTTCATAAGCCGAAGTACGACGTTTGAGCACAATATAGAACCGTCAACTTCTAAATCTGTTCCAAATAAGCAACCGCAGCCACCACTTTTAAATTTTGTTTGTAACAAAATAGCCAACAAAATGAGAAGTCATCAAGTAGATGCTATAATATCCCTCCGGCAATATTTGGAGAATGAAAATTCACCGATGGATAGCGACCCACTGCTGTATTGGAAGGTAAAAATATACTTATGTAATTTATCATACAACTAATAAATATATATATACACTGGTGGCCAAAACTAAAGCAACTTAAATCGAAAAGACAATAAATGTCCTGTAACTTTTACAAAAATAAACAAATCGTAATTATTATTCCAGTTTTAAATGAGGGGTTTAATTCACTTTTAAGAAACTAAAAATACAAAAATAATTTTGAACGAAAAATAATATGTGGAAAACTAAAATGACCCAATTTTTGCTTGGTCAAAACTAAAGCAACTTTTGATTTTTTATTTTAAAATAATTAAATTTTGGCTAGTAGTCGATAGCATAACCATTATTTTCCAGCCAGCTGCACACCTACGAGGCATTGAATCTATAGCACGCTCAATTTGATCTTTGGGTGTGCCTTCCCAGGCACCCCGAATTCTTTAGAAAATGTTGTGCTTATTTATTTCCGAATCTCTCTTGATCTTCCTACCTACGATACTCCAAAGGTTTTCTAAGGAGTTTAGGTTAGGTGATTGTGCCGGCCATAACAAAACATGAATTTTTGACTCCCGCAACCAATATTTGACAAGTTTTGATACAAGTTTGGGATCATTGTTATGCTGAAACACCCAAATCAGCTGAATATTTTACTCAGCGTAAGAGAACAACGTGATATCCAACACATCTTTGTAAACAAACCGATCCACAACTTCCTTTATTTTATGGATAGAAAAAAGAAAAACAGCGCCACGCCATTTTTGACCCTCCCTCATGTTTCACTGTACCTTTGCAACACTGCGGCTTGAGTCCTTCATTTTTTGATTTTCTCACCGTAAAATTTTTCACGTCTGAGCCTTTAATATTAAACGTAGACTCATCCCAAAAATAATGTTTTTTCCATTGAGCTTAATTTCACTTAATATTATCATTTCCGAAAGCCTTTTTGATTTTTTCAGATATAAGTGGTTTTTTGATGTCTTACGAGCATGCAGACCAGCTGCCACTATTCGTCTACGCACTGATCTCGAGCTTATATCCAATGATTGCTCACCAATCCAGTTGAACTCTTAAATAGTTGTTTTTTATTTCTCTCACAATTTGTGGATCAGTACGGGCTGAAGTTTTTCACGGCCTTCATCCGTTATAGACTGTTACTACTGATCCAGTTTCAAAAAACCGACTTAGTATACAGAAATAATTATGAAATCACATAAATATTTATGAAATATTTCTCGGAAATTATTTTCTGTGATATGTTGTTTTGATAGTCACTGATAATTTGCTGTTTTATTAAGGTACTATATTTGCTTTTAGCCATTTTTAAAATTTTTTTTGGCCAGTACTTAAAAAACGAAAAGAAAAACACATACTGTTTTAAAAAACTTCTCAAAAAGGATTTATGACAAGCGAAATTGTCGAAGGAAACAAAAAGCGATAAATATCACAGTAAAAACAACTGAAATTGCAGCGGTTATATGAATGTACAACATAGTTGCTTTTGTTTTGTCCAAACCAAAATCGGGTGAATTGACTTTACCAAACATTATTTTTTATATAAAAATGAAATTTGGTTTTATGTTTTAGGTTTTTAAAAAGTGAATAAAGTACCTAATTTAAAACAAGAAAAACTTTCTCATTTTCTTAATTTTTGAAAAAGTTACAGTTGCTTTAGTTTTGGCCACCAGTGTATATATATCGTTGCAGAATATTGGAATTGATATGTCCTTAATCAAATCCTGTGCCTTAAGGTATTTATGCATACCGGCAACTTCTATAGAATCTGAAAGGATTTTCAGTAAAACTGGATCTATAATTTCAGATAAAACCAAAGACTGTTGATAAACTTTTATTTATTAATAAAAATTCCTGGGTAATATCCAACATGAAATAATTTGTACCTCTTGAATTAATTGTACCTCTGTAAAAGACCTCATATTTTCATTATTTATTTTTTTCTTTGTTTTTTTTTTATTACTTGGTGAATTTTATCGTAATATTTAAACATACAAGTACATATGAAATGTATTTTATAGTACATGATATATATTTTTTTGAAGAGAAATAAAATGAATTTAAATTTACAAAAAAATAGGTCTCTTATTTAAATAATATCTGGCTAAAAAACTTTGCAAAAATGACCTATCACTATTCACTTTTAATAAGATTTAAATTAAAACGTTGGCAACAAATTTATACAAACCTACTTTTTCATTCGATAGTATCGATATTTTTGTTAAAAATATCGAAACTATCGATGGTCGGGATATTGATAGTTTTGCAGCTCTAATGGGAGCTATATTCAAATCTGATTCGTTAATTACAATTTCCATAGATTTTCAATTGGATGATTCTTTCTCTTTTTATAAAGTAAAATATTTTCTTTGTATCAAATGACATTACCCTCTTAGTCATAAGACTGACGTTGCAGAAAAGCGAAATAGAGACATAAATAAAATTGGTCGTTTAGTATCATGTTTTCAATCTTTTATTTTACTCTTCTGACTTATCAACATCCAGCACGTATATTCGAATCCTTATATTGTAAATTTGTTACATTAAGCTATTTAACTACTATAAAAAGTGTAGTATAATAATAAATAAATAGGGTGCAAAAGGCACGTCAAATCCCATTAGCGTTGCTATATTCTCAAACAAATTTTCTCCAATATTCATAATTAGAAAAAGTAAAAAAAGCAGTAAGTTTGGCCGGACCGGACTTTGAATACCCTTCACCATATGAAACAAATTAGGACATTTTCAAAAAAAATTAAAAAACCGAATATCGGCAGGTGCCGATATATGGGCCTTCCCAAGGTGGAGTGTATGATAACGTGCAACCTTTGGAACATGTATTACTTCACTATTTTTTAATATTATCGTCTAATTTTTGAGTAATTTTATTAAAATTCCAACTTAATTCATGTATTTTCCTTTACAATGCTATTAATTTATTAAAACATTTTCTAGTACTAAAATTGTACTCAGTAACGCCGACGGGTGCGAAAACGCACCACCCCCTGCACGAGCAAGGGGTAGAGACAGGGGGCTGAATTTTTGTGCGCGGAATATGAGTGACATTATGGCATCCTCCACTAAGTTTCAACAGTTTTCTTCCTACAAATAAGGGAGCCGGCGTTAATGGGTTAAAGACCAATAGTTAACAGTTATTGCCGGTGTATATTTTATAACACTGAAAACTTTAAATGTCAAATTACAGTTCAATCGGTAGAAATTGTAACAAAAACATGCAGAAGGACGAATGTTTAATGGTAGTATCATAACTAAATGAGACGGCATATTCCAATCATCCTGAATATTGTTTAAATTTTCAAAGATTGACCTAATATTGTGCATTAGTTGCGTTTGCTGACGGCCGCACACATAGACGGATATAGTTTAATTTACATAGGATACTAGCTGAACCCGGTGCGCTTTGCTACCCCTTCTGAATTTATATCATTCAAAATACTATATACGAATATTTTGTGGCTTTAAAAAATAATAAAACAAATTCAAGAATTTATTTATTGTAAGACTTTAATGCGTAAACAAACAAATCTCTGCACACACGAAGAGTTTGTCCTTCGGATTTATTAATTTCATAGCAAAAAACGGTCTTCACTTGATTGAATTCAGTAAAGTAAAATTTCTCTGATTTAGATTTGATGGCGAAACATGATGTTCATTTATCAGTACACGTGATGTGGGTTGACATCTTTTTAATAAATAATTGAATGAACTTACCTTTTCAACATTTATCAGAACTTTAGCCTTGCTAGATTGATGGTTATGATGCAACATTGCGGAGCCTCGATCTATCGCAATTACTATTATTTCCAACTCTCTTCCACCCAGATTTATTAGGGGCCTAACATTCGATATGACACCAGAAGATGGATGGATTATAAAATATGGACTGGAGTTTAAAAAACTGTAGTATATTTCTCCATTTATTCCTAAGTCTGCGTCTTCAGCTGTAACTTTTAATATGCTGCTATGAACAGGAACGTCCTCGAATATAGTTACTGAATATTCAGTTGGATAGAAGAGAGGATTTAGGTCGTTTCTGTCAAGAACTTGAAGGTTTATCGTGCACTCTGCCTCATGCAAAATATTGCTTCCGTTCGCAGGACATGTTACGAATGCCTTAACTCTGAAATTATACACTTCGTTTTTTTCGCGATTTAATACTACGTTACTTGTTCTCGTTCTTATTGACAAAAAGGCAAAGTTGCCGACTGTTCTCTCTTCTGCTTTAAACAACTTGTCTCGATCTCCAGAAATAATTCGAAAAACTGCATTACATGACATTGGTGTATCTAAACCAATCCTTTCGTCATACGACTTAGGCGTAGCGTACGTTTTACCAATGCTATTCTCCGGAATAGTAACATTGTACTCTTTTTTTTTGAACTCAATACTATATATGTTGTGCACTTTTCGACTAAGTGATTCAGGTTCTAGATTATCAGCATAACAGACTTGAGTAACTGTCCAAAAGATCACAATTAAATGAAGTACTACCGTATACGTACACGTTAACATATACACATTATGTTTGAACTTCATATTAAATATTCCCAGGACTTAACATAGTTAAAAAATCTGAAATTAAAAATAATGCTTGATTAAAGTATGTCAAAATCATTAAAGTGTAAGCATAAAATATATAAATATTTATATATCGAAGCTATATTATTCTACAAATATTAAACATGAGTTTCAATAAAAATATGTACAATAATGCGACACAATATATATATATATATTTTTTTTTTTTAAATATATTTGATCTATGTCTTATGCCAGACTATGAAAATTTTCATTAATGTGAAAATGAGTTTATGGGCAAGAGGTATGAAGGGGGTGAAACTATGTACACAAACTTCTGTAATCTGAAATTATTATTTGTGCTTAAATTCGTAACGCTCAAATCAAGATGGCTGCACGTCATTTCTTTGATTCCTTTTCATTTTATAAAAAACAGTATAAAGCAACAAAGAAAATATCAACAATGTTCATATGAAAAAAAAAATTGTGTGTAGACGTCGATGAAAATTTAGGTGAAAATGGAAAAACATTTTCAAATGAAATTTTCATAGTCTGGCATAAGACTATATTGGAAAGTAATGTGGTATATGAAATACAAATGATTTTATAAGAAAAAAAAATAAAACTATATTATATTGTAGTGGACACACCATTATTATTTATATATTTATGTTTACTTCTATATGGTTCCTTTTTAATAAAACACGATCTTTTGTCTAGGGTTTATTAATATTATATTTAATAACTCAAATTTATTAAAATGATTATTTAATTTAAAGCAATGAAAAGTTGAAATAAAATAAATATGAATATTGATCGTCGTTAATGCGAGCCGTCTTAAGAACGCCTTTACTTTGCCGCATCGTAAATGCAACTCATTTTGCTAGCTGATGACTGACTTCACTCAAACTTCTGTTTCCACAACTCGGCCATCCTGCGAAAATAGTTCATCGTCGTCATATTCTCCTCTGGGCCAGGGCTTTATGAATCCAGCACAAGTTGTCGTCTGCTTAGGGCCTTCATTGTTACCGCATTTTATGACATCATATGTATCGTTAGGCTTGACTTTGATGATACGATATGGACCTAAATATTTCGGCTTTAATTTTAGACCTCCGCCAAGTTGGATTCTTTTAATAGCAACTAAGTCACCAATCTTATATTTTGTAGCAGCTCTGCGTCGAAAATTATACGTTCTCACATTTTCAGCTTGAACATCCAATATTTGTTGTTTAGCTTTCTGTCGTAATTCATTTCGATCTTCATCGTATGCCCTCATAAACTCTTCTTCGATTAGCTCCTTAATTTTGACGTCATCTTTTGTTCTCATCTTAATACCAACTAACAGTTCAAATGGAGTACTCTTGATTCTACGGTGGTATGTTGAGTTTATTATTCTTTGTACATCACCAACATATTTGTACCATTTCGTAGGGTCTGCTATGCTTAGTTTTGATAAAACGGAGATGATAACTGAGTTTAGTCGTTCGATTTGTCCATTTGCTCTCGGAAGACCTGCTGTTATTTTCATGTGATTAATGTTCTCCGTGTCACAATAGTTTTTAAAATCTTCGCTAGTGAAAGCTGAACCACGGTCTGAGATTACGTTGACAGGATTTCCAAAAGTTAAGCTTTGTTGTTGCAATTTAGTTATTACTTCTCGCGCAGATGTTGTTTTCGTTGGATAGAGCCAGCAAAATTTTGTGAACGCGTCGATGACAGCAAAAATATGATTATGCATCTTACTTGTTGACTCTAACGGTCCTAAATGATCGATGTGATACGTTTGCAGTGGTATATCGCCCTTTGGAATCGTGTGTAATTCCCCTTCCTGTTTACCTTTTTTCCTATTTGTTATTATACAGGCAATGCAATTTGATATATGTTTATGGATCTTCTCTTCTAACTTTGAAATGAAATAATCTCTTGATAACAGCTCTTTTGTTTTCTTCACAGAAAAATGACCTCTTTCATGGGCGCTTCTAATTATTTCATTTTGCATTCCTTTCGGTACAACAACTAATTCACAATCATTTACAAAATTGTATAAAACATCACCTTTTATAAAGTATCCATCGTAGTCCGGGTCGATGTTCAACATAATAATCGTACTCTTGAAGAAACATTATCCAACGGGCTACTCTTGTTGGTACGTCTTTATTCTCAATTGTTTTGACGTTGCAGTCCGTTACCAATTTAAACCGTAATCCAATTAAATACACACAAAATTTTCTCAATGCCTCCACAATTGCCAAAACCTCTAGTTCGTAGCTTGAATATTTCCTCTCCTGCTCAGTTGTTTTCCTACTCATATAATACACGGGGTGCAACAGATCATCGTCAGGCAACTTCTGCAGCAAAACAGCTCCATAACCGTCGATAGATGCATCCGTATGAAGTTCTGTCTGGTATTTTTGGTTAAATATACTCTAGACTGGTTGATTCGCCATCATTTCTTTTAATTTATTAAAAGACTTCATTTGTTCTGCGCCAAAATAAAAAGGTGTTTTAGTAGACTTCAAGTCAGATAACGGCTTCGATATTACTGAAAACTGTGGAATAAATTTTCTAAAGTACCCAGCAGTCCCAGAAAGCTTTCGACGTCTTTTAAGTTCTTAGGTATTGGATATTTTATTATCGCCTCTGTTTTGTCTGGTGACGGATAATTTTTTTTATTCTCAATTACATGGCCAAGAAATTGTGTACGCTTCTTGAGGAAATGACATTTTTTCAAATTTATTTCTAGTTCATATTCCTTGCACATGTCCAAAACTCGTTCTAAATTCTTTAACGCTTCATTTTCGTCTCTAGCTGGAATAATAATATCGTCGACGTAGGCTAGCGCAACACCTTCTCTGTTTAAGCTCCTAAAAATCGCGTTAACATGTCGCTGGAAAACTGCTGGTGAATTTGTTAGTCCAAATGGTACCTTCTTAAACTAGTATTGACCATTGTGTGTTACAAACGATGTGTATTTCCGACTTTCATCATTTACAAGCACGTGAAAAAAACCATTTCGCAAATCAATTGTGCTGAATACCGTCGCATCTTGTAATCGATCAAGTTGATCCTCAATTAAAGGTAATGGAAAATGGTCCTTTACGACTACCTTGTTTATTTTCCTGTAATCTATACACAATCTATGAGTTCCATCACGCTTCATCGTCAATTCTACTGGACTACAAAATTTTGAATTTGATACTTCGATGATGTCTTCTGCGAGCCATTTTTCAATTTGATCTTCGACAATATATCTCTCAGTTAAAGGAAGTCGTCTTGGGTTGCAAAATATAGGATCTTCTTGGTTTAATGTAATCCTCATTTCCACGTTCGTTTCTTTCGTCTTTTCCGGTCGGTAGTTGTTAATCATATCAATAACTTTTCCTTTAGCGTAATCACTTGCCGTTTCTTCGATATAAATTTCCGTGTTCTTTTCGTTGTTCCAAATATCCAATGCCATCATACCGTAAACTTCTTCAGACTGCTCATCTCTCAATTTCCTAAACTGAATTTTTTCTGGGGCAATGTATATTTCAGCGTACGAGCAAAATTCTTTTCCAATAATAACGTTTACATCTACGCACGTTGCTGGCACAACTTGAAAACATAACGCATATTTCTCACCATCAATTTCGACTACGCACGCATAAGATCCCATTGGCTTTATTTTATTATTTCCAAATCCAACAAGATAAAAGTTTGTTTTTGTTAGCTGAGGCCGATTCAGGGCTTTGTACACATTTTCAGTCAAGATGTTAAACTTACTTCCAGTATCGAATAAGGCTGACCATTTCTTATCTCCAAACTTAACTTCTATTTTCATATATGTGTCTGAATTTATTAGTCGAACGTTTACGTTTTGTTTTGATGGGCAATCTTTCGAAATATGTCCGTAATTGTTGCAATTGAAGCACTTCATTCCTTTCTTAGCACTTCGGCATTTTTTGGATGTATGACCCTGACCGCCACAATTAAAGCATATTATGTCAGGCTTTTCGGGTTTATTTGTCATTTTCGATTGGACTGGCTCAGAATATTTTTTTTTCTCTGTTGACATCTGCATCATTTCGTAAGATCGAAGTTTCTTTTTAAACTCATTTAAATTGTCTGCTCCAAAAAGAATGGTTTTGTTGACTGTTGAATCTTTAATGCCTTCTATTACGTATTGCATAAGCGCTTTCTTGTCAATAGGACCTCTCGATGCTATCTCTCTCTTGTGAAGAAAGTACTCTTCAACGGTCTCATTTTTTGACATTTTCCTTTCCATCAACATTTTGTGAAGTTGACAACTTTTTACCACGGTATCAAATTCGTCTAACAAAGCCTTCTTTAATTGTTGATATGATGTTATGCCCCTCTCAGTTGATATAAACAATTTTGCTAAGCCTTTCAAAGAACGTTTTGCAAAAATAAACATTTGAAATTCATCCCAACACATAACTCTGGCATTCTCCTCAAATTCCTCCAACCACGAGCGAATTGACAAATTCTTACTTCCATCAAAATTTCTTATTGTGTCTTCTATGTCTCTGAAATTCATTGCAAATTTTGGCACATGGAGAGCCTCGTTGTACCGTGACTGCAGACATGTAATATTATCTTTATTGTTATCGTAGTCTTCACTATGCACATCATTCGTAGATTGCCGTTCTACATATTGCTGTGTCTCTCCATTGTTGTTTTTGTTCTGCATACGGATTCTGCTTTGCAAATTTTGACTAACGGTATTATTATTTACACTCATTTCTAACTTGGGGTAGTTTCGTCTCGGTACAATTGTTAAATCATTGCCATTGGTCGATCCAGGTTCATCATCATAACACTCATCATCTTGTGTTTGACTCTCTGCGTCATCGTAGTCGTTGGCCTGACTTTCTGCGCCGTTGTCTCCGTCGTTTGTTAGCAGCATACCTTTTTTGAGGTTTGAGAATATGTGACCACATAAATGCTCCACGTCGTAGCTCAAACATAATAGGTTGCAAATTGAGACTAGATCGGCTGTTGACAAGTTCTGTTTGATGTATTTGAGTTTCTCTCCATACTCAGCACTGTCCTCTACAAACTCAAAGCCTTCAAATGAGCGCAATCGTCGTCGGTTTGATCGATCTCCTTCTTCACCAAAGATAAATTTATGCAGTGCCGTTGTTATTGTCCGTTTGGCCGTAGATAAGTTGTTGCGTATGACAAAAAAATCTCCTAGAGTAAGCGTCTTTGTTGTTTGTTGTCTCGGACTTTTTGCAGTTGCGTTTTTTCTCTTTTCTTAGTCAAGGTTAAATTAAAGTTACAGTCTTTCAGTTTTTTTGTATTTTACTTCGAATCGGATAGTACCGTTATTTTAAACATACAAACATATAAAAATTATTTGGACTTTTTTCTATGACATGAAACACAAATGTTGTTTCTGAACAAGTAACCTCTTCTCCAGAGTATTGTTTTAATAGTCTGTGGAGATTTTAAACATGAAATCAGTGATATTGTTTCACAATAACACAAGTTAAACGAAAGGTTAACACAACTTATAAAGTTTTCACACGTTTGGTACTGTTCGACACAATAAACATTTTACGTAACACTTTGCACAAGTGGAGTTGGCATTCTTATATAGTTTTCGCGTTAAATTTATCAAATTTATATTTTTATTTCTTAATCGCGGTTGAGTCCCCAAATTTATAGGGTTCCTTTTTAATAAAACACGATATTTTGTCTAGGGTTTATTAATATTATATTTAATAACTCAAATTTATAAAAATGATTATGTAATTTAAAGCAATGAAAAGTTGAGATAAAATAAATATGAATATTGATCGTCGTTAATGCGGGCCGTCTTAAGAACGTCTTTACTTTGCCGCGTCGTAAATGCAACTCATTTTGCTAGCTGATGATTGATTGCTTCATAGCTAAACTTCGTGACACTCTCTCAACTTCACTCAAACTTCTGTTCCCACACTTCTATATCATGATTTGTTTGTATTATTATTATTATGCATATATAGAATGACATCAATTATTTTACATTAACTTGAACTGTAATTTTGCTCGAGTGTTCGGATAATTAATTTTGTTCTATGCCAATAATAAGAGAATATGTTGTTTTGTGTTAAGTAACTGCATTTCTTTGATGAGTATTGAGTGATGCTGCAATTGTTCTCTAGTGCTCTCGCATAAATTCAATGAAATGAGTTTAACTTGACATTATTGTAAAATACCTATGAGAGATTGAGTGATTGTTTTTCTTTCTTTCTTTTACAAGTGATATTGTTATTGTGATTATTTTGTTTATACTCAATCATCCTCAATTTCATGTTTTAATCATTCCACGTGTTTATGATCTCGCCTATATAAGTACACGCATTAGGCTAAGTTTGTCATTCTTGGAGTTGCTTTTAGAAATAAAGTATCAAACACAAGAATATCATCGTCTTTTATTCTATAAAAATCTATAGTATTAAGTGGACGACATTGGACATTTTGTGTGTGTGTTGACCCTTGATACTAAAAATATTATAAAGTGGATAAAAACTTTTCTAGACGGAAACGTCTGTCTCGTTATATCTACGATATAATATAAGATATTTAAATAAAATAACAAAAAGACAAAATCCCCTAAATATTAGGATTAATTGTCTCCCCACGAACCCTACAAGTGGCGCCCAACAAAAAAGATATTGTTCCAGAAATTGCCTGTTTGATGCAAATCGTGTAGCAGAATACATAATCTGTTGCATTTTATCGAAGGCAAACGCAAATTAGTACTGCGAGTGATTTGTTGTTGGTACATTGGTAAGGTATCATTTGGTTGTTGTTGTCATTCGATATAATTGGTGAGAGAAGTTGCTTCAGTTTTGTGAAAAAGGGTTACCAAGTCTGCGTTTTAAAAAGTGTGGAATATGAGACGAAGTCCGAGAAAAACACCACCAGTCCGACAAGGTACTGTGAATCATATAGATGGTGAATTATCAGGTGTGTCAGGTAATGCTCAAAACTCTGTTCCTCAACAAAATTCAGATCCAATTAGAAACAGTGGAAATCCCATTGCGTCCTGGCAAAATGAAGCTCGAGCTCCAACAAATTCCCCAATATTTTTCAATGTTATGGAGCAAATGTTAAGGAATCTTTTAGGTGACTTAGCAGCCAGGGAAAGACCAAGGAATAGTACTTTTAGCACATGCACTTCTCGTTTTAATGGAGACAGAAATTCGACCAAAGTTGAAGACTTTATTGCGACCATATTGGTATATAAAGAATCGGAGAATATCTCTGATGTCCATGCACTTAATAGCCTCCCGTTACTTCTAGAGGGTTATGCTTCCACGTGGTGGCAAGGTGTACAAGATGAAGCTAAAACGTTCCCAGAAGCAATTGATCTTTTAAGAAAAGCGTTTGCTCCGTCAAAGCCAAATTGGCGCATATATAGCGAGATTTTTCAAGACAAACAAAAAATGTTTGAAACTACAGATGCATTTGTATGTCGAAAAAGATCTTTGTTTGCTCAACTGTCTGACAAGTTGCCAGAGAAGATGATGATAGACATGATTTTTTCACAGCTAAATATACACATCAGGGAAAGAATACCCCGTAACAGTGTTTCCTCATTTCAAGAACTGCTGGCTAAGGCCAGAGAAATAGAGATGTTAGCCAACGAAAATAGGGAGGAGAAAATAGATCGAAAACTCGACACTGAATATCCCAGTAAGAGGCAAGTGAAATGTTCATACTGTCGTAAAAAGAATCACACTGTTGAAAACTGCTATAAGAAAATGGAGGCAGATAAGCATTCTAATGTTCTAAACAAAGCTGAATAGCTACGGTTGCGGTGCGGCTGGTTATTGCCGATCTAATTGTCCTTTCTGTAATAAAGATAAACCCCGCGCTAGTACTGGAAAATTGGATTTTAATTCTCTAAGTGACGGAGTAGTAAGACGAAATATTCCAGTTGTAGATGTCAATATACAAGCCATGCAGGGAGAAGCATATTTTGATACAGCGGCAAGCAAAAGTATAGCAGGACAACTTTTGTTTGAGAAGTTTAAGGCAATCGGATTGCCATTCGAAAAAGGAAATGAAATAGTTTTTTCGACATGTGCGTGAAGATAAAAACGTTTTTAATTGTCGAATACTTTCAGTTGTATAACAGTTCAAAAACGTTTTTGTATATGAGCGGAAAATAAAAACGATTTTCAACGTGTTAGACTTTTAATCTTAGCCATTTGTTTGATTTACTAAAAACGATTTTTATTATCCCCTAGTAAAAAAAAACAAATACTGAAATAAACACATAAAATGAAAATACATTATTTAAATTGTCAATGTGTAAGAATTATGATTATAAACATTTTTGGCCTATATCTCAGGATCAAAAAAGGATACGCGTATATGGAACGTATCGTTAGAAAGGTGATTCCTTCTACTTTCCGAATATGTACTGATCTAAGCATTTCATTGTAGAAATTTTAAGAAAAAAATTTATCATCGAAAAATACGATTTTAAAGGACAAAATATGTTTGGCCTATATCTCAGGATCAAAAAAGGATACGCGTATGTCACAGTGAAATGCTTAGATCAGCACATATTCGGAAAGTAGAAGGAATCGCCTTTCTAACGATACCTTCCATATACGCGTATCCTTTTTTGATCCTGAGATGTAGGCCAAAACATATTTTGTCCTTTAAAATCGTATTTTTCGATGATAAATTTTTTTTCTTAAAATTTCTACAATGAAATGCTTAGATCAGCACATATTCGGAAAGTAGAAGGAATCACCTTTCTAACGATACCTTCCATATACGCGTATCCTTTTTTGATCCTGAGATGTAGGCCAAAACATATTTTGTCCTTTAAAATCGTATTTTTCGATGATAAATGTTTTTCTTAAAATTTCTACAATGAAATGCTTAGATCAGCACATATTCGGAAAGTAGAAGGAATCACCTTTCTAACGATACCTTCCATATACGCATATCCTTTTTTGATCCTGAGATGTAGGCCAAAACATATTTTGTCCTTTAAAATCGTATTTTTCGATGATAAATGTTTTTCGTAAAATTTCTACAACGAAATGCTTAGATCAGCACATATTCGGAAAGTAGAAGGAATCACCTTTCTAACGATACCTTCCATATACGCGTATCCTTTTTTGATCCTGAGATATAGGCCAAAAAATTGTACAATCATAATTATTACACATTGACAATTTAAATAATGTATTTTCGTTTTATGTGTTTATTTCAGTATTAGTATTTCATTTACTAGGGGATAATAAAAAGCGTTTTTCGTAAATCAAACAAATGACTAAGATTAAAAGTCTAACACGTTGAAAATCGTTTTTATTATAACCTAGAAAATCGTTTTTATTTTCCGCTCATATACAAAAACGTTTTTGAACTGTTATACACTGTTATACAACGGAAAGTCTTCGCCAATTAAAAACGTTTTTATCTTCACGCACATGGGATTAGGGGGGTTTACAGGGGAATTCAATTGATCGGACGCGTTTTCAAATCCTACAAGAGGGTTCATAGCACTTAATGAATTCATTGTTGTCCTTGGCATTATTGAAATTAAATAGATTTTCTACCAAGAACTGAGTTTCTATACCACTTTTATCCTCAATTATCAAACTCTGCCAAATTTTCCAGTTTTTAGCACTCGTTTTTCCTAAAATCAACAGCACCACGTTTCTGCAGTTCTGGTTGCAATGTTAATGTTAAAAAATGTTTATGATGTAACCAAACAACAAACACCTCTCCTACACAACAACGTTAACTAGGGGCAAGCAATTCCAAATTTTTAGCAGCTTCTTAACATTCACGATGGGCGCCAGATGTAAGGGGGAAATCTCCAAATGGTGGAAACTCCTTTCCTTGGTAAGGGTTATTATTAATTTTGTAATTTTTATTAATTTATTCTGGGACAGAATAAGTCGAATCGAGCAGTATTCGTCCTCAGGTTTGCTTGCTTATGTAGCCTTAAGGCTTCCAAAGTCTTAGCGAGTTGCAAATTTTATAATTATTTTATGTTTCCCAAAAAAAAAGAGGGGTTTACTCCGTTTACCAACTTTATTACTCTGTTGCTCGATCAGAATAGAAAGATGCAACATCATTTCCATGACCAAGCATAAGTTAATTCACAACATAAAATAGAACTTAACTACTAATTCCGAAGGCAATATTACAACAACAAATTGAGTATTTATTAATTTGCAATTTTAGGTATTTTGCAATATATTGAGTAATTGAGAGAAAAAGAGTAGCATAATGGCCCTAACTATCGTTAAGTTAATGGGTACGTGAGAGCATTCATACACTAAACTCGTTAAGTAAGAAGAAGCATAGCAAAAGAGTACAAGAGAATAATAGTTAAATTGCTCCTTTGAGTGTAAGTGTTAACCTATCGCTGTTACAAAAGCTAATGCTACCGCCTAACATAACATGCGATGTAACTTGCATTAACATATTACTGATATTACATTATCTTATGTTAGTTATTATATTAAATTATGCTTTATTATATATATATATATATTATATATATATAATATATATATTATATATATATATTATATATATATAAACGGCTGCTACAGTGGTATATTTGGCATCAGCTGCAATGAGGATGCAACCACCTTTCTTACAAACACGATTTTTAAATATTTAATATTACGAAGATAAATGGTCAATTCCAGAATCTGTAAAAATTTAATAATATTACTAGAATAACCGATTTTTCCTGTATGATATGGAAAAATGTTATTAAAATGTAAATAGTACTAATTTGCAGGGTGTGGAACACACAGAAAATTTCACTATTTAATGTATGCTATGTTCCAGAAACTGTAAAATTCTACTAGTTTTGCATTTTTTCGATAGGCTAACATTTTTATATCGTTTCTTGTCTGGTTCTGGAACATCGCAATATATAAATTATACCAACCACAAAGACTTTACACATACTACCATGACTTACATTTTATATGTATTTTATTACAGCTGCTTCCTGGCGATGTATTTTGTGTTACTTGTTGCTGTTCCTTGTTAGTTGTCCCATTCTCAGGATATGGCTTATCGTTTTTTATTCTAGGATGCTCGTAGATAGGTGGATTTCGCAGTTATTTTTTTGTCCTATTTGCTAAAATTAGTTAAAAAATGTTGAATTTTTCTAATATTTCTATAATATGCATCTCCCAATGTTTTTTTTTTTTTTCTTTTGATTAAGCATTATAAACAGTAGTTGTTTTTTTTTTCTTCACTGGATCAGAAGTTTGTACATTTGTAATATTATTGATATGGAAGTACCCGGTTATTTGTTTTGAATGTTTAAATTGTAATTCGGATCATTTTGAGTTTTTTACCATTGTGGGAAAACATTTTTCCCGATTTCACTGCGAGACAAATTTCTTTCAATAATTACGGGCAAAATCCAGCAAATCATGAGAGTAGAGCTTAAGAAAGGAGACAGGTGTATCGACGTTTTGAAAGTTTACATCGAAAATTAACAAAACCCCCTTTTTGCACACTTTTGAAAATGTTTTTCCTTCTTTTAAAATATGCTTAAAAACTTCCATTAAATAGTAGACTATCAAAATATTCTACAAAATTATTTGAAATGAAATTGTTCTATAGACCCTGAAGCCGTCAAGAGTCTACATTTTAACTAAACGCCAGGGATCCATATATATTAAAAATACATTTTGGATTTAAAGAAGTAAACGTCTTGGAAGGATGAAGTCAATGTGACCATTTTATAACTGCTGCAAAAAAAAAAGAGGACCAACATTTACAATTTTTTGTGAAAAGCTTTTCTCCACAATAAGAACTCAAAATGCCAAAATTTGAAAAATTAAATAGAAAACATAGCCAAAATGGAAAATATACTCGAAATGGACTATCCCGAAATTGATTCTGGATGTAATTCAAAGATCTCTATTAAATTTCAAAGTTCTATGCTAAATATTGTAAAATACATATCTCAAAATATTGGGGATCCTGCTAGATTCTCCCCGTATTTTTTATGTTGCACAAAACTAGGTTATATATTCCCTAGAATATTTTAAAGCATATGCAAACAACAATCCAACAAACTCATAACATCCCTAAATATTCGTCGTGGACCCCATAAAGTAAATAAACTCATGATCAGCATAAAATTCTAAGTCGATTTAACGATTTCCGTCTGCCTCTTGAAATCACGATACAGCCTACATTATTTGACATAGAGCTTCAAAATTTGGCAGAACAATTTGAATTGTGTCTAGGATGGTTGATATTAAAAATGATATATCGGTCCATATAACCGTTCCTCCGATATTCAGTATTTTGATGATTTTTGAAACATTTTTTTAAGGATTTGTCTAAAAGTTGGTATTTGTAGGTCATAAAAGGTTCTAGTTCGTGTGGCGAAAAATTGTATGTATATAATTGTATGATGATTTTTGTCACATTTTTGTCAAATTTTACTGAATTTTGCCTGTCAAGTCAAAAGTCTAGTATAAGAGAGCGAACCAGACGACAAACATTGACAGTTGTTTTTACTGATAGAAATTCTAGCTTTTTTTTCCAAATTTGAAATCGAAAATGGAACTGAAAAAATCAACAAAATACCGAAAATCGGGAGGTACCGTTATATGGGGGCTATACAAAACGTGGACCTATACATTCAATGTTTCGCCACCGGAGTTAGAACCCATTACGACCAACAAATGCCAATTTTTAGACAAATATCGGGAGGTACAATTATATGAGCACTATACCAATCATTTTCAATTCCAACCATCCTAGACCATCCAATACAAATTATTCTGCTAAATTTTGACGCTCTACGCCAGATAATGTGGCCTGTATCGTGATTTCAATAGACAGACAGACTGAGATCGTTAAAACGACTTAGAATATATGAATGTACGACGAATATTTAGGGATGTTACAAACTGACAAACAAAGTTAATATACCCTCCTTTCAAAGGTGGAGGGTATAAAAAAACAATTACTTATTAAGTTTTTAGTAACAAAAATTAATATCAATAAAATAGAAATAAAAAGGAAAACAAATTACTCGTAACTGAAATTTTCTGAAAATTACTTTGAGATTTTATGTAAAAAATAATAAAAATGACAGAAAAGCAACGATGAAAAACGAAAGTTGCAGGAGTCCCAACTAGAACGCAATCATGAAATCGGTATTGTAAAATGATACCAAGAAAACTTTTCTAGAATTGAAGAAATTAATGTGAAGGACATGTGATTTCAACATGTCATACAGCCAGAGAAGCAGATCAATTTCTGCATCAGTCATTTCCCGGTCGTTTTATTTTGCGTTTTGGAGCCTAGAATTGCTCACTAAAATCGTGGTGTTGAATCACCTTAAGATTTTTTTTAGGATTTTTTGAAGTAAAAAAAAAAATTAGTAAAATTAGTAAAATTTAATTCTATCTGCTTTATGATATAATAAAGTTTCACATTTTTTATACTATGGAGGGTATATTAACTTTGTCATTCCGTTTGCAACTCCTCGAAATACTCATGTCAGACCCACCAAAGTATATATATTCTTGATCAGAGTAAAGTTGTAAGTCGGTTTAGCGATGTCCGTCTGTCTGTCTGAGTGTCTGTCTGTCCGTCTGTCTGTTGTAATCACGCTATCTTTCGAACGATTTGAGATAGAAGGCAAAAATTTTGCACACATGTTTATTTTGTCAGTAGGCAGGTTAAGTTCGTAAATGGGCAATGTAGGTCTATGTTTTCATATAGCCCCCATATATATAAGTAAAATTATTTTATATTAATTTTTATTTATGTACTAGCTGGACCAGTCCGCATTGCCGGCCCGTAGTTTTCGTCTTTAATGTCAATGACTCGATCTATTTTTCAGTAAGAGCTTTTAGTTTGGGAGTTAAAAACCTAAATATAGCATATATATTAAAAAGTATACATTAACTGTTTATAGTAGGCCCATGTAAAATGGTTTCCTACCCCATTTTAAGTCAAATCGATTCAAAAATATAATCAAAACCCTCGAAATAGGTAAACTCAGGAGGTACTTTTATATGAGCGCTACTCCGAAGCATTGACATTGAAAAATTTCCGCGAAGAGGTCTTCTACCAGAAGCTAGATGCCAAAAAAGGGCAAACCATTTAAAAATGTGACCAAGACCCTGGTAGTAGCTAAAATCACGGATACCTACATATAAGAGTTATAATGAAGCATGGTCCCATACTTATAATTATTTGAAAGAATTTGTTCTTCTTTTTAAAATCTCAAATTACCAACATTTGAGGAATTTGAAAGGGGCTATATCATTTGAGGGGGTTATATCATAATGTTGGTCTACATGCTCTTTCCGAAAATGGACACCATAAAGGTGTATCCCTAACCATTTCCCCACAGTGTTTTATAAGCATTTTCGATGCTCTTTCCAAATATGGACACCACAAGGGCGTATCCATGATTACTTTCCATTAGTTTGTTTCAGTTTGTAGGTATTTATGCGCGCAGTGTTTTTATTGCCAAATTTGATATTGGAACAAAGTTCAAGCAATTATGCATTTTTTATTAAATCCATACAACATTTTTATTATTATATAATTTCATTATTGTAATTTTTATTTTGTTTTCATAACAAGCGGTTTTGAGTTAAATTTAAATTTACTCTCACTAAAATGTAGTTAAATTTAAATTTTTCTCTGAGAAAAAGAAAAAAGATTTTAACTGAAAAATTTTCTGGAAATTTTTTTTTCAAAAAAAAAATCAAAAAAATCGAGTTTTTAATAAACTAGAATTATGTCGTTGGGGAAAATTAGAACTTATGAACTTACACCGTATTTTGGAATAGTAGAATTGTATAGTTCACGAACGAACTAGTTGGACCATGGTGACCACACTTTGCACTACATGATCAGCGACGATGAGGATAACATTAAATGTTCTATAGTGTTTCAATTCCGACCAATCAAGCAGGACTGAATGGAATTCACTCTGACGCAGTCACAGAAGTCATGGAGGAATATATAGTGAATACCATTTTGGAAGACCAACCCCTCTTTCATCGCAGCTAAAGAGCAAGAGTTGCCTCGCCAACCTGAGCAAATTTTGGAACAATTAAGATCCAGATGGTGGCCTTAGCCGCCTTATTTCGTATTGGGCCGGATGGACAGCAATGTGCAGAAGACCTGCCCAGGCAGGACCACATGAACTGCATCCCTTTCACTGTCCAGCCAAACATACTCATCTAACTAAACTTTGCAGGTTGCGTCCTTCTTGATCAGGTTGAGAAGAATCAGAAACAAATGGAACATATCGGTCCACGTTTCAGTATAGCGTCGACATGTTTTCATAATTTTGATGTTTTTAAAAATGTTTCCAAGCGAAACGTTTCAAATTTTGTATTTGATATTCGCAATTGATACCATCCACTGTCTACATAGGTCCAGTTTAGTAAAAACTCTTTGATTTTTTCCAGAGGTAGTTATTTTTACCCTGATTCGTGGAAACAATTTGTATCTTGGGGGGTGGTGTCGGACCCAGTTCCCCTAATTTTTGACCCGAAAGTCCGGGTTCAAGACCCGGATCCACTTAACCGAGATAGACAATATAGGTATAGTTTGAAAGCTTATGAAAATACCTACGCCAAATAATGTGGCCTGTATCGTGATTTCAATAGACAGACAGACTGAGATCGTTAAAACGACTTAGAATTTTATGCTGATTATGAATATACGACGAATATTTAGGGATGTTACAAACTGACAAACAAAGTTAATATACCCTCCTTTCAAAGGTGGAGGGTATAAAAAAACAATTACTTATTAAGTTTTTAGTAACAAGAATTAATATCAATAAAATAGAAATAAAAAGGAAAACAAATTACTCGTAACTGAAATTTTCTGAAAATTACTTTGAGATTTTATGTAAAAAATAATAAAAATGACAGAAAAGCAACGATGAAAAACGAAAGTTGCAGGAGTCCCAACTAGAACGCAATCATGAAATCGGTATTGTAAAATGATACCAAGAAAACTTTTCTAGAATTGAAGAAATTAATGTGAAGGACATGTGATTTCAACATGTCATACAGCCAGAGAAGCAGTTCAATTTCTGCATCAGTCATTTCCCGGTCGTTTTATTTTGCGTTTTGGAGCCTAGAATTGCTCACTAAAATCGTGGTGTTGAATCACCTTAAGATTTTTTTTAGGATTTTTTGAAGTAAAAAAAAAATTAGTAAAATTTAATTCTATCTGCTTTATGATATAATAATGTTTCACATTTTTTATACCCTCCACCATACTATGGAGGGTATATTAACTTTGTCATTCCGTTTGCAACTCCTCGAAACACTCATGTCAGACCCACCAAAGTATATATATTCTTGATCAGAGTAAAGTTGTAAGTCGGTTTAGCGATGTCCGTCTGTAATCACGCTATCTTTCGAACGATTTGAGATAGAAGGCAAAAATTTTGCACACATGTTTATTTTGTCAGTAGGCAGGTTAAGTTCGTAAATGGGCAATGTAGGTCTATGTTTTCATATAGCCCCCATATATATAAGTAAAATTATTTTATATTAATTTTTATTTATGTACTAGCTGGACCAGTCCGCATTGCCGGCCCGTAGTTTTCGTCTTTAATGTCAATGACTCGATCTATTTTTCAGTAAGAGCTTTTAGTTTGGGAGTTAAAAACCTAAATATAGCATATATATTAAAAAGTATACATTAACTGTTTATAGTAGGCCCATGTAAAATGGTTTCCTACCCCATTTTAAGTCAAATCGATTCGAAAATATAATCAAAACCCTCGAAATAGGTAAACTCAGGAGGTACTTTTATATGAGCGCTACTCCGAAGCATTGACATTGAAAAATTTCCGCGAAGAGGTCTTCTACCAGAAGCTAGATGCCAAAAAAGGGCAAACCATTTAAAAATGTGACCAAGACCCTGGTAGTAGCTAAAATCACGGATACCTACATATAAGAGTTATAATGAAGCATGGTCCCATACTTATAATTATTTGAAAGAATTTGTTCTTCTTTTTAAAATCTCAAATTACCAACATTTGAGGAATTTGAAAGGGGCTATATCATTTGAGGGGGCTATATCATAATGTTGGTCTACATGCTCTTTCCGAAAATGGACACCATAAAGGTGTATCCCTAACCATTTCCCCACAGTGTTTTATAAGCATTTTCGATGCTCTTTCCAAATATGGACACCACAAGGGCGTATCCATGATTACTTTCCATTAGTTTGTTTCAGTTTGTAGGTATTTATGCGCGCAGTGTTTTTATTGCCAAATTTGATATTGGAACAAAGTTCAAGCAATTATGCATTTTTTATTAAATCCATACAACATTTTTATTATTATATAATTTCATTATTGTAATTTTTATTTTGTTTTCATAACAAGCGGTTTTGAGTTAAATTTAAATTTACTCTCACTAAAATGTAGTTAAATTTAAATTTTTCTCTGAGAAAAAGAAAAAAGATTTTAACTGAAAAATTTTCTGGAAATTTTTTTTT